CCTACAGTATAAGCTGTTTATGCCACCTGGGCTCAAATAGTCGATTGCCTCTACTGGGCTTTTAGACACTGTCCCTTTTTCTTGGCTTTAGCTACTTTATTCCTCGGCTAGCAGGTTAGCAGATGAGCAGACAGCATTTATGGATGGGCTGTTAGCTCACAGTCAGATTGGTTAAATAGTCTTCGAGCTTTGTCCTTGCTTCAAGGTTATCCGGCCTGGTTTTCTCCAGAGCCGGGGCCGCAGTTTATGACTGTTCGGATCTTTTTTACATTTCAGCCCTCCGACAAGGCTCGACAGGCAGCACACAAAGTTATAACTCGTGTTTTCCTTTTTGTCTTCTTTATTTTGATAACAAAATGACCACATGTCATAAACCTGAAACAACAAAAACAGATGCAAAAAGTTACATGTGAAACTGAGATTGCTGAACAGATGTTTCCACTTTTTTCCATTAATAAAACATGTTTGTAAGCTGGTTAATTATTACCCCATCAGCTACTATTGCCATACATATAACAAGAATCTACCTGCACACCATTTACATAAGTAATAATTTCAAATACATCACAGAAGACCCAAATCAACCACATTTACTACATCTCCCAGAAAGCCTAGCACACCGGGAGCACGCGCAAAGCAGTCCCCAGACGGCAGCACGGACGTGTTGAGACACGGCCCGTGTATACCAACTGGACGCGCTGCCGATAAGTTACAAGAGCCACGAAACACAATACAATGCTCTGCAACAGACCACAGAGTCAAAGTTGCCGTTCACCACACCACCGTACGCATTTGCCCACCGAGCGCTCAACCACCGGCATGTCCCGGCCAACCCCGACCGCCGAGAATGCTCCCGGGAGTTAGCCGAGTGCCGGCCGAGAGCGCTGTGCTACACTCACGCCGGAGGCCGAACGCCTATCACGCTCGTAAACAACACATTATGAGCCACCTACGGCACGTCGGGATAGCGTGGTGAACGTCAACACGTCCATCTATTCATGAGTTAACCATCATTAGCAGGCTGCTTGCAGTTAGCAGTTGTTATGCTACTTACTGACGGGCTGTATGCTCCTGCCGAAGGTTCGCCGACAATGAGCCGTCAACGTGAAACAAGAATATTATGTACGCCCTCACGATTAACCCCTTAAAGGGTCTCAGGCATACAACGTAACTAAATGAATGTTTTAACTAAACAATAGAAAGGGTAGATATCTCTGTTAAAAGAAGAGAGTGGCTGCAGCAGCTCAATAAATCATACACATTTCTTATTAGTACACATAACCTGACCAAAAAATCTTGACAATTCTGTTATACCCTTGTTATAGCTGTGTGTAATTTTTTTTGTGTGTTTTACCCAACTCTGTTCTTGAATACTACACAGCATTTTCTTTCTTTAAGTACCCACAATTGAAGTTCAGAGAGTGATAGTTCTTTGTCCTCATTTGTTCTCAGCCTCCAACAGACCAACATTTAGTTTTGAGTGTCTTCGCAGAAGAAGTAGTCAGGATGACGCTCCTCCCTCGCCAACCTGCACAGCTCTTCCACTACACCTGGTGCAGCAACAGGTACACACACACACACGCACACCTTTTTCTGTAATATTGTAATGAATAAATATACAGTATTGTCACAAAGTAGTAGACATAACCCCAAAATGTCATTCATAATTGATTGAACCTCAGGTGATGGCGGTGGCCGGTCTCGATGCCAGCAGAATTCACCGCCTGTCTCCCACACGGTCGCTTCGCTCCTGGGTCACGCCTCCTGCTTCACCCATCAGCCGCGACTGCTCACCCTGCTACACACCACTCATACAGGTCTGGTTTACTGTGTGCTAAAAGACCATGTTAAGATAAACCACGAGTCGTCTAGCGATTCTCCAAGATTCGGAAAATGTTGCCTAAGATGTGAAAGTAAAGACTAACGTCAGACAGCATTCACTCTCTTGATATTATGTCTGAAATGTGAATGTAAACGTTTCACCTTTGACGGCTAATATCAATCAACCAATCTGATCCCACCGCTTTATTTGAGACGCATCTCAAGCAGTGTCTTGTGACAAAACACGTATTCTAAAAATGTACACCTGTGTGTGTGTATGTGTGCATGTGTACTCAGGTGGACTGGCGCAGTCCTGGCAGCGTTAGCAGCATCCCCGGAGCAGTGAAGAGGAGTTCGTGGTATACAGACAGCCTGGACGGTCCTCCCAGCCGCAGCCACTCTCCGTCGCATCTGCAGTTACCTGCTGAGAGCTGCTCACGCTTCCTGCAGAAGAGAGGTAGCGCCAACAGTGTGGTGGAGGCTGTGAGTATATTTCTTTGTGAACTAGAGCAGGGATGCAAAGACAACTTTCAGTATCAAAGACGCTTTTTACAATTTTTTGATTGATTGTTTAATCTATGAAATGTCAAAAATAATGACCAACGCCCAGCTATCAACATCCACATTTTATTTGAACATTCCTCAGCACTGATGTGAAGCCAAAAAAACCCAAAATATTATGTGCATGATGATATTAAACCAGAGAGCAACAAGCTAATGTGAGCACAAACTGTCACCACATTAGAAAACTGACTTGTGTTTCTCCTGTCATCCTCAGGTCCTGATCTCTGAGGGTCTGGGGAAATTTGCCAGGGACCCCAACTTTGTGTCAGCGACCACACACGAAATCGCAGACGCCTGTGAGATGACCATCGATGAGATGGAGAGCGCTGCCAGTAACCTGCTGAATGGGAGCATGGGTAACGGCAGCACCGGGGGACCGGGGAGCGCCAGCTCAGACCCACATGCCAACGCGCATCTTAGAGACAGCAGTATACGCGACTACAGCGACGAGGAGCCGTACGTGGCTGTGAAATGCGAAGAGGACCTAACAGACGAGATGATATGCATCACGTCGCTATAGCAGTGGCTCACATGGGATTATTTAGGTTTTTTCAATTTAATTTCTACTACTGTTCCACAGTGAGGGGACGTCTCTGTTCAGCAGCGTCCTGCAATAGACAGAAGATGTCAAACATGGATGGATAAGAGAACAAAGTGCCTTGTTTTCTCTTTCTGTGGAGTGGAGAATGGAAACCAGGTCCAGATGGGAGAGCTAAGAGAAACAGATGGCTTCTTGGAAGAGCTGAGATATATTCAAACCAGAGGGAATCAGTCCACTTTCCAGCTGCCTGTTATTTAGCAGGAATTCAGGGTACAGCTGAATAACCTGCCAGCCTCGCACAGCCAGCCCAGAGCTCGTCCTCTTCAGGATATTTTTATTGTTTGTGCAGTGTACTGCAACACTTTGTTTTCAAAATGAAATAGCAACATTGATGGCTTTAATTTGAGCATATTTGCATCCATATTGAGTGAACAATGTCGGGATTGTGGGCCTTTAATTCTTCTACTGCACTGCCCTAAAATCATGTGGCTTTGTAAAAACCAGGCCTTGAATCACACACTGTTCACTCAATATGAAGAGCCAATAAAACAGAAAACATGTCACCTTTTAAACTCATTGATAAGTGACTGAAAGAGTAAAGCTGGCTTTGCAAAGCTGCATTTGTACTGCTGCAAAATGTTTTTGGCTTTCCAACAACTCCCTGTTGAGTTTCATGTCATGTATATATAATGTGTGATTTTAACCTTCAGAGGTCATGAGACACTGGTTCTTTACATTACATTTTGGCCTCCATGACTCAAACAACACAACACATTATTTTTTTGTTAATTTATTTCAGCTAATCTCAGTACAGAGTGACGGTCACGCTGATCTGGGTTCAGGGTTAAACGTCGCTTGTCTCAGTACTTGACTTGAAAAGGAAATCACATATCAACGAAAAAGACTTTGTCCTCAGGCATATCCTTCTCTTTAACGTGCACACTGGTATGACACACAGAAACATATCTCACAGTGTGTTTCTGTGTGTCACGTCATCCTTCCCCTTAACACCAACAATGCCAATATTAAAGTTATTGATTTTTGTTGGGTACAATTAATAATGAATATGTGGAGGTTAATTAAACCTGAGCTGGTATCTGGAATACTCTTAGTATGTACTGTAAATGCACTCATTCCTTTGTGTGTGTGTGTGTGTGTATATATATATATACATATATATATATATGTGTATATATACAAGTTTTAGTGGCCATTACAACTGATAAATATGACTTATGCATTTTCTAACCGCATGTAAATCTTGTTTAACTACGAACTTTTGACAAATGTGAATTCTTACCTCTGTAACTTTCAGGGTGTGTAGGTTCACGAGTCAGGAAAACCTTGGCAAAAGGCTGCATTTGCACAAAATGGAGAAAGAAAGATATTTAAAGTCGTAATAATGTAAATACCAGTCTGCGGTGATTGATGGGAATTAAAATTCTGAGTTTTGATTGGTTAACACCTCCAAGAACTGTTTGATTGACTGTAAATGTGTAGCAGCAAAATGTGACATCAGAAAAGAATCCAGTGTGACACAATTACCTCTTTAAAATCTCTTAACTTTGTGTGAATACAGCCAGAGCTTCTATTTTACTGTTTTGGATTGTACTGACTTTGAAATACATATTTTAGAGTAATTAAGAGAAGCCATATTACACACATGCTGTACGCAGAAATCTGTATATTTGCCACAGGCGATGAGAACGCAGGGCTGCAGCGTCTCGCACAGACAAATAGACACTCTGGTTGTTGTGGGGATCAAACCTGTGATGGTTTCCCTGATGGGAGAAACTGATACTAATTACAAGATCAAACCCATTTTTTAATTAAAAATGAATAAGTCATTCAGTGTCATCACTGATTGGATTTAATAAATCAGAATTGATCGGCCAACAGTGCACGACATTGCGTGGTCCAAGTCATTAAAACCAAACCTTTTGGCTCACAAAATGTCAGAAACTCAGTGACAGCCGACAACATCAGAAAAAAATCACCTGCTTATTCACAGTACGAATTTCCAAATGCATCCAAATTTAGACTTTCATCAAATGAAGAGAAACCAACTCAAAACTTTGTTGTGCAACTGACAGCTTTATTTTTTGTACTGTTCCACTGCTTTACAGATGTCTATAAAACCGACAATGTGTACAATCTGTACAGTGTTTGTAAAAAGTGAGTGATAAAGATTTCTGCTTTCTACCCATTTGTTGTATGGAAATTTAAAAAAAAATAGCTCTATCCACTTTGTAGCAGAAGTACTAGTACCTTATAGATTTTGTACCACTGGGAAACAAAAACCCTGTTTTGTACATTTGAATTCTTGACAATGAACCTGCTGAGGATTTTTGTAAGGACCACTGAATAAAGTCACGAGGACAAGGTCAGGACGGCTTCTAGTGTTTGTTTACAATCAGTACAAGAAAACATCAAAACATGCAAACATAAAACATGCAAGATTTTTCATAAACATTTTCCCTTCATGATCCACAAGTTACTCCTTCATTAAGACACTAATGATTTAAACATTGGAGTAGTATTGTACAACGCTGCGTATAATGTAAACAATAATTTTCACTGTCATGAAGATACTTCATAGAGTAGTGCAAAGCTACATAAGACACAGTCATTTTCGTTCTAGCACCTAGCAGCATTACAGCTGATAATAAAGTGAATTTAAATTGAGATGATCAGTGAATTCTAAAATATATTCAACATAAACGTGCTGTGAGTCTTGGCTGGACTGAACGAACACACATTATCAGTTATTACGGTACACACACACAGTAACTCACTGATATCAGGACTGAATGATCACACAGGCACGGATGGTGTTATCTGATTGGTTATACACACTCATCCTCAATGGCTTCTTTGGAAACATCCATGATACATTCAACACGAGTAGAATTAACTTCTTTTTTTTTTGTAGTTTCTAGAACTTCAGAGTATTTAAACTTAAGATCTGCACTAGCCAGATACGCTGAGCTGTAATTTGCATGTATTTCTCCTGAGATGAAACAGCTACCAGACTGGCCTGAACCAGAGGGAAACTAAAAGCTGTGAGCTGTGATAACGTTGGCAGGTTGCTGTTGATGCTGCGCTCACTTCCATATTAGCTTCATCTGTATGACTATGTTTACATGCGCACAATATTCCGGTTTTTCCCTTATTGCGAAAAGGACAATATTCCAACTAAGCTCGTTACATGACTAATGAAATGAATGTTCCACTATTATTCATGTTTACGTGCAGCCATGTATACTGTGATTAATGTGCCCTAACGTATTGTTAATCACACCAAAACATGGAAAAGTGAAACAGACTGAGCTGCTTGTGCCAGTTTGCTTTTTTGCATAACAACAGGATTTGTTCAAAGATTCCAAACAGTTGTTAGACCGTGCAGTCTCCCTCCCCACCTTCTTGAAAATGTCTGGGTTGTGGTATTCCTGTATTGCCAAAAACCTGTAAATACTTACTGTAAGTCTTTCATAATGTTTTAAAGTGGGTGTGTTTCCTGCACTGATGCAAAGATTCCTTCTCATCGAATGCATGTCTCTTGATGAACATCAGCCTCAACAGGGAGGGGGGGGGGAATCATGGCATTCCTTGGAATTCATAAGCGTACTGTTGTTTGTTGGCTTTACTACCTGTGTTAGCCTCTACTGTGAAACAAGACCAGATGTTTAATTACTCTTGTTTGCTACCAGTTAATTTAACTCTACCCTTCTGGTTTTTATAGTCCCTTCGCTGATTCAAATCGTGTGCAACAAACCAACAAAAATCATTTTTTATCAAGGGGTCTGCAAAAGAGCAATTACCTTGGTGACAACTGATCTCACAGACAAAACAACAGGTGCTGCTGAGGCTGTTTAGGTAAACAGTCTGCAGGTTGCTGATAAACAGACAACAAGAGTAATGATCACCTTCGTAAGACTTTGGCTCTCGACTGCAGCTGTGAACTAAATTTGATGAACAGACAGCCTATGATGGCTGACGAGAACAAAGTGGGATTAAAAAAACATATTTTTCATGTCAATACTTGTCCCATTTCCCACAGAACTCCACTCCACTGTGACTGACATGAATGGCTTCATTAAGATTCACTCTTAAGTGTTGTGTTGTGACAGGCATAAAAAAACTTTCCACTGTGAAACTGTTAATGTGCTGTGGAATCTAACCTGAAACCTTGCCATGGTCCATCTCAGAGTGGGTATGAAATGTAATCTAAGCACTGTTAGTTTAATGGGAAGGAGGGTTTAAGGCTTTGCTTTCGTTTTTATAAGACTTATGAAGATGTGTACTTTCTAAGACACATATGCCAACATGTCAGAGTTGATGTATTGTCCTTGGTCAACAAGGTGAGGCCAGGCAAATATATATACTGTAATTGCGCAGCATTTTTCCCGGCAACTATGTTGGACCATAGTGGAGCACCAGCACACAGCTGACTATCATTTTCTACATCAGAGCAATGATGCAGGGGAAGTGTTCATCACATTAGCTTTACAGGAATACTGCACCCACAAAATAAACGTGTATATCGATCAGTCATGTGGTCTTACCTTGAATTCATGAAGAAAACATTGTTTAGACTGCCACTTACAAACTCTCTCACAACTTGTGCAGTATATTCAGTATACGAATACATTTTAAACTTAGTCCCCAATCAATCCTCAAATCAATATGTTCGCCGCTTTCTGTGGAGGCATGCGAGAAAAACATTTTCTTCATGAATTCAAGGTAACAAGGCATGACTAGCTGATTTACAACTGGTCATTTTGTGGTGAAGATTAGTAAAGACGTGTAATTTGGAATGGAAAATTAGACCAAAACCCATCACTGAAAAAATATTGAAGTGACAGAGACTTTCCTAATCCTACGTTTTACGTGTAAACTGTGTATTTGGCCTTGGATTACGATAGCATAGATCAGCCCTTCATAATTACAGTAAACCTAAACATCTAACACTGATATTAGCTTTTGTGTGCAAATCAGGTGCGTTGAAGAGACAACACACACATTATTCATTCATCTGAACCTCTTCACTGCTGTTGTTGTCTAATGACGGATTGTGTGGTGAACTGTTTACCCCTTACTCGTTCTCTCAGTTCATCTCTGCTTATCAAGTGTCGGCGGTTGGTACACAGGAACCCCGGCGTCGACGAGAGGAGGGCGACCTCTGATGATGTCAGCGGCCTTCTCTGCAATCATGATGGTGGGAGCATTCAGGTTGCCGCTGACAACACTGGGCATGATGGAGGCATCGACCACGCGCAGGTGCTCCAGACCCAGAACACGCGTGTTCGAGTCAACGACCGCCATTGGGTCGGATGGCGAGCCCATCTTGCAGGTGCAGGATGGGTGGTAGGCACTGTCAGCTTTTCGCCGGACAAAAGCGTCGATGTCGGCGTCGGATTGGACCTGAGGACCGGGCTGAACTTCGGGACCACGGAACGGGTCGAAGGCCTTCTGGGCAAATATCTCTCTGGAGAGTTTGACACACTCCCTGAACTCCCACACGTCAATATCTGAGAGGAGAATAAAATCAAATTATCATTGTTTAAACCAACTCCAGGCTCCTACTCAAAGTTATTTTCCACATTGCTGAGATACACTTGACACTAACAGATAATGAATATGAGTACAGACCTCTCACATTACTACCATCCTTATAAATGAAAGCTCAGCCTTCAGCGGAAGGGTCAAAGCAAATTATCAAGCAAAGTACGTCCAGAAATAAACATGTCTCATAGAAAGCATGTCTTGTCAGAAAACAGAAATGATAAAAGCCTTTGATAATTTTGGTACTTGACAGTTCAGTGACTGAATCTTACCAGTGGAGAGATAGTTTGGCTGGAGAATTGGGTGATCCAAAGGGTTGGCGCTCTTCAACTTCATCCAGCCGATACTGGTGCTTCTCATTGGTCCGACATGAACCTACAACACAAACAGAAACGGTCACCTCTGTGTTATATATTGTAACTCTGTTAGACTTCCCTCTCGGCATAGTGACGATGAGGACATCCATACCTAACGCAGCATATACTTTAAAGGAACAGTTCAGCCCAAAATCAAAAATACAGATTTTTCCTCTTACCTGTAGTGCTAATTATCAATCTGGATTATTTTAGTGTGAGTTGCCGAATGTTGGATATATCGGCCGTAGAGATGTCTGCCTTCTCTCCAATATAATGGAACTAGATGGCGCTCAGCTTGTGGTGCTCAAAGGGCCAAAAATAAATTTAAAAACCTTAACAGCAATGTCTCTTTCTAGAAATCATGACCGGGTTACTCCACAGACCTTGCTGTGAGCAGTTTCATGTAGGAACTATTTTCTTTCTACAGAACTCCACTCGCTAACCATATCACTGCGCAGAAGGAAGCATGCATCTACTGCTACCTCAGCTAGCAACACTGAGCTATCTAATGTTACAGCTCAGCTGAGGAGGACACCATTAATATTTACATCTCACATCACAAGCACAAGCCTCTCTACCATGAGCAGTGTTGGGAACGTTACTTTAAAAAAGTAATTAGTTACAGTTACTAGTTACTTTCCCCCAAAAGTAACTTAGTTAGTAACTGAGTTACCGCACTGTAAAAGTAATTAATTACCTGGAAAAGTAGCGTTACTTTTTTTTATAAAATGCTCAAATATGTCAAATTGCTTGGACAGCCCCCCTTGATGGAACTGTATGTAATAAAACTCACCACTGAATATGTTAAATGAATGAAATTGACACTTAATAGAATGAATCATTATTATAAAACACTGTACACTTATCTACACTACACTGCATTGTTGTGCATGTGTGTGTGTGTGTGTGTAAGAACAGCCATTAATCGCGCAATTTAAAGGTGAAAAGTCTCATTGACTGACCATCAGCTGTGTGTCTGCGGAGGGGGAGAGGGGCGGAGGTACTGTCCGAGATACTATCATGCGTTTGAATAACTTATTAGACGGATATAGAGAGAGAAAGGCGACGTTTAGAGAGCAAGCCCAAATAAGCAACTCCACTTTTGAAACAAGCCCTAAAAATCGCAACCTGTGACTACCAATATTTGTTAGCTACTTTACAAAAACACAAGCCCAAAGTCGCGGACCTGACAAACCTGCTTGTGAATACCCACCCTACTCTGCCTCTGATTGGTTTATGATGAAATTTTCCTCTCCCTAAGCCAAGCATCATCACTTATGCTTCCCCCTCACCTGCCCTCACCAAAGAAGAAACACTTTAAAGCTCCACTGAGAAGGAGCTGGTCTGGGAGAAAGCCGCTTCAGTGAACTCAAGTAAAGCCAAGTAACGGCGCATTTTATTCTGAGTAAACATAACGGCATTATAACAGGGGAGACAGTAACTTTTTTGATTACTCGTTACTGAAAAAAGTAGCGCCATTATTTATAAAAGCCGTTAGTCCCATCACTGACCTTGAGTAGATGCACACTTCTGTGCCGTGATACGATTGATGGGTGTAGTTTGGTAGAAAGAAAATAGACCTTGCTGTTGAGTTTTTCCAGATGTATTTTTTGGTGTTCAAAGTACCACAAGCCAGGGGTGATTCTAGGATCAGAGGTTTAGGGGTGCTGAGCACCCAGAGAGCTGCCCGGCCAGGCAAGATAAATTTCACTGTTTTGTACATTTTAACGCAATTTCATTCCCACATTTGTGAAAGAAAAGCACTTTTTGGGAAAGTCTCTGACTAAACCATCAAATTTGATAAAGGTTATTTAAATGCTGAGCCACAGCAAAAGAGGAATGGATTGGAATTATAAAAGAAACATATCGTAACTCTAATTTCTGGGGGAAGACAACTCATTTTCATACAGCAGCTCCTCAACATACACATAAACAGTATGTATGTTTCTGGAGTAAACCAGCCCCCTATAGTGAGTACCAAAATACCAAAAATGGACCTTGGACTTATTTTTTGGACTTTTATTTGAAATGAAATGCACAACATGTAACATTAACACATTAACAGTAAGTGACTTTTTCAATGTTTGTTTCTGCCATTTTCCTTCTTGTCACAATAGGAGTTATAATGTTAATGGGCATCCAGTCAGTTAGCTAGTCAGTAGCACCTTGGCTTTAATATTAACACATGCACATGACACAACAGCTAGCTTCTCTCATTCCAATTCAAACAGAGGACAGTGGTACTGATAGGCCGTAAGGTGAATCAGAAAAAGTCTCACAGAAACTGATTTCCGCTCCGACATCTGGGGACTACACGATCTTTACTTCATAAAAAAGATCGATACATGTTCAGCTAATCAGCGGGAGTTCGTAGCTCATAACCCCGCAAGAGTCCTGTGATCGGGGTCGTAATTCGGCACTTGTTCCGTCTGAGCGTATTGATCAGTTCCGCCGTAATGAGATTTGGTACGCGAGTGGTGGCACGGCCATCACGTGATCGCGCTACACCAATAAGGTACCCGCATTTCGTGTCGCCATGGTTTCATTCAGCAGAGGAAAACAGACCCGGAAGTCCTTAAAAGTGAGCAGAAATGAGCTGAAACAGCGCTATTCACATCGCCGTGTCCATGAAACATGATGAGACAAATAGACAATAAGATGAACTAAGCAAAAATGTCTTAAAACACATTTGATTCAATACCTGGGCATAACCGACGTATTATTACATTGACAACATAGCTGTCCAGTACGGAATACGAGAACGGCCATGTATTTATTTTTTTTTTTTTT